AGACCCGGGTTCAAATCCCAGCACCCACATGGCAGCTAACAACTGTCTGTAACTCCAGTTCCAGGGGATCCGACAGCCTCTTTCTGTCCTCCTCGGACATTGCACGATGTGGGTGCACGTACCTACACGCAGGCAATACACGCATATACGTAAAATAAAAATAATAAAAAATTTAATTAAAATTCAGAAACATTTAGGGTTTGTATCAGATGATATTGGAATGATGTCATGCATCCCTGTCCCTTCTTGAGTCCTGGCAAAGGGTAACCTAATGGAAGTAAGTGGATGCATAGCCAAGTGTGGGCACTACGGCCAAGCTCAGCCCTATGCTAGGAGGAAAGCAGCCGGGGTGACGGCTGACAAGAGCAGCCTGGAGTCATAAGGAGGGAGGTGCCTGAGTCGCAGCAGCACCCAGTTGTCTGGTACTCGAGCTGTCCTTTGTTACCACGACATAGCTACACATCTGTACAGTGGCCAGTTCTGTTCAGGAAGACCTAGGAGGTGCCAGGCATGGGGGTGCACACGCCTTTAATCCCAGCACTTGGGAGGCAGAAGCTGTCAGATACCTGAGAGTTTAAGGCCAGCCTGGTCTACATAGTGAGTTCCAGGCCAGCTGGGGCTATAGAGAGACCCTTAATCAAAACAAAACAAAAAACAGGAGGACCATCAGGACCAGAGAGAAATGAACTTGGAAGAAACAGTCGGTGCATGGAGGAGAGACAGGAAGGGATGTTCTAAAGAGTGTGTCGGAGGTTCCAGAAGATGAGTGGCTCCCACGGCCACTTCAGGCCCTGAAGCCACAGGAACAGTGGGGATGAAGATGGCGTCTTGATGGGAGGATCAGGCCTGTGAATTCTGAGCCTGCTTCTCCATCCTGGTATCTCTGTGGTCCTCACAGGTAGACCTAGTAACCCTTCAAGGGTCTGGCTAGACAGGTGAAGGAATCTAATTCCATCACTGAACATGTGCAAGAGACGTGGCGCCCTTGAAGGAGCGGGAGCAGACTTCTACTGGAGGGATGATACGGTTTCCCAGATAGCCAGAGTGTGGGTTAGGGAGGAGTGAGCAGCCTGCTGTAGGCTTAGAAACACAGGAGGGAAAGTGACCAAACACAAAGTGGGGGCTTCCCCCAGTCAGGAGCCTTAGTACTGGGTCCAGAGCCAGGCTGAGGAAGCCTGGGTTGCCACAGTTCTGGAAGGAGGGCTCTCAAAATACAGAGCTTCCTACACACAGCAGTGGAATGGACAGAGGCTTTTAATGACACAGCCAGTGTGGCAAAGAGAAATGAACAGAGAACTGGGCACAACTACCCAGCTGATGACAGCCCCTTTCTTGTGAGGAGGGGGAAGAGGCAGGGACCCACCCTGAGCGGCAGTCTCTCTTCCATTGAAACAGCATCTTGAAAAGTAGCCACAAGTGTGTCCTTAGCCTGTTTGCATACAGGCAGCAAACCCAGATCTGGTATTTCTCAGTGCATGAAAATCATGTGAAATTCAGATATTGCCTGTGTAAACAAGTTTTCTATACCCATATCTTCTCCCATGATTCCTCTGGCTTCTGCACAATGGTGGTATTGCTGAATGCTGTGACAAAGGCATGGTCACCCACAGGGTGCACATGTCCAGTGTCTCTGCATGGATGGTTGGCCAGCGTCTGTGACACATAGTGCACGTGTCCCAGGCAGCTCAGGAATTCATCACAGTGTTGGGACTGTACCTCAGCTTGACAGGTGTACTGTCATTCCACTGAAATCTGGAGACGGACTTAAAACGGACAGTGGGCACCACACAGGTATCGTGCAGATGGCTACAGTCTCCTCAGGAAGTCCCAGCTCCAGGGGTGACACTCTGACATCCTGGGGGTCATCCCTGCTGTGGCCTCATGGCCTCCAGGACTGAGGCCCCTGCAAGCACCCATCCTGAGTGAGGGAGCTCCCGGGCTTTCAGGATCACAAGCTGGGTGCTCACTCTGCCTCTTCCCTTTGTAGGAGCTATCTGGAGGGGAGTCTCCTGGCCAGTGGGGCCCTGTTAGGGGCAGACGAACTGACCAGGTACTTCCCAGACCGGAACATGGCGCTCTTTGTGGCTACCTGGAACATGCAGGGCCAGAAGGTGAGAAGGGTTACAATGAGGTGAGGGGTGGCTAGGCTGTGTCCGTGGGGACCCACTTCAAGTGACCCTGAGCAGAGCCCACTGACCACAGCATGGGCATAAGGATGGGCAAGCAGGCTGCGTCTCTGGCTGTGAGACTCCCTGAAATGACTAGGTTTGGGCATAAGCCTTGGGCATCTGTGCCTGAAGGACAGGGTGTGCACCCTGGAGGATGGTCAGACCAGACCTGGGACCATGTAGCATGGGCTAGGCCACCAGGTAAAGATAGGCCCCAGGATGGGAGGTGACAGTTGAACAGTTTGGGTTCAGAGAGAGGAACTAAGGCATCTGATGTATCAAGGCCCCTGAGCGAGCAAGCCCACAACCGTACACAGCACTTTTTGAAAAGTTGCTCTGTGACCAGCTCCAGGTTCAGAGCAGGGCCTTGCCCATGAGCTCCTGCTCCCAGGTCTGAGAGGAGCCTGCTGGCCCTGACTGACAGTCTTCTGGCTTGTTACTACAGGAGCTCCCACCAACCCTGGATGAGTTTCTGCTGCCCACTGAGGCTGATTATACCCAGGACCTGTATGTCATTGGAGTTCAGGAGGGGTGCTCTGACAGGTAAGGCACCATTCAGGCCATTGGAGTCTCCTCTGTCCCATGTGGACAGTCCACAGAGACAGGCCTGTGAGCCTGGAGCTAGGGACCTGAAGCCCCATGTGGGCCTGAAGCTGTGTGGGCTGACAGACAGCCTCAATGCCGAAATGAGCACAGCTCCTTTAAAGATGGAGACCCGAGGGGCTTAAGACCAGTGGTAGTTAGTTTTGTAAACAGTTCATCTGAGGGAGCCTGGGTTCTCCTGAGACCACTCCGCCTCCTGAGGGCTCTGTACTGACTCCTGGAGGACAAAGCCACATCCTGTGGCATCGACCACTTTCCCTAGGAGTGGATGCCGGGGCATGGGCTCCTAACTTCATCTTATGGGGGGCCTTGCTCTGTGTGAAGAACAGCAGGAACCTGCCTTTTGTGCTTGGGGAAGGGAACTGGTTTCCGGGGCTCCTGAGTCGAGAAAGGCCCACCAGTGCAAGCCTCCAGATCTCTGCCAACTCGTAGCCAGAGAACTCATGTGAGACAGGAGCCATTATGCACTCATGTTGTGCACATGCCATTAGAGTAAGGACTTGGGCCTGTGACCCACCCGAAGGGCCGTACCTGTGGATAGGATGCCATTTTCCTGGTTGTCATTCTCAGTGCAAGATAAGGCCAAGTCATGGTGTTCCCACAAGTGCTCTTGCAGAGGCTGACAGGCCCCCATACCCCCATCTAACCTGCCTCCACCCCACAGGCGGGAGTGGGAGACACGCCTGCAGGAGACGCTGGGCCCCCAGTATGTGCTGCTGTCCTCAGCAGCCCACGGGGTGCTGTACATGTCCCTGTTCATCCGCAGGGACCTCATCTGGTTCTGCTCAGGTAGGAGCCACCAGCCCCTTCTGTCTCTCAACTTTGTGTGTGTGTGCGCGTGCATGTGTGTGCTAGTGTGTTCATGGAGGTCAGAGACAATCTGCAAGAGTCAGTTATCTCCTTCCACCATCTGGAGACCAAATTCAAGTCGACAGGCTTGGCAGCAGGTGCCCCCAGCAGCTACGCCATCTTGGCAGCCCTTGCCAGAGCTTCTTGTTCCTGTGCCTGTTCCTCCCATGGCTCTGGGTGCTTATGTATACAGGACCTCATCCACACATGGGCTCCGTCATAGCAGCCTGTGACTTCACAAAAAAGTGCACTTTGTTTCTGGGATCCAGTTTTTGGGGTCCCCACGTTTGGAAATTCACACAGGTGTACCCAGTGCAGACATGTCTATCCAGGTGCACTGAGCCCTGTTCCCTGCCCTACAGAAGTCGAGTATTCCACGGTAACCACACGCATCGTGTCTCAAATCAAGACCAAGGGGGCTCTGGGTGTAAGCTTCACCTTTTTCGGCACCTCCTTCCTGTTCATCACGTCTCACTTCACCTGTAAGTGCCTCAGAGCCAGAGTTGTGTAGTCCTGACACTGGCTTGGGAGCGGCTTCCTCTCTGCTCGGGCCCTCTGTCCAGGCAGAGTGCTAGACACTCTGGGCTGCAGTCAAGCTGTGGTTGCTTCGTGCATGGTGGGCTCTGCCTTAAAGCTCAGGACAGTTGCTGCCGTCAGCCTGCAGTCCTCTGAGGCAGACCAGCCCAGAGCCTCACGGCCAACAACTGAGCGGTGGTCAGGACACATCTGAGGAGCAGGGTGGGCTCTACACAGAAGCTCAAGCGTACACAGACCACCTCCCTATCTGTTTCTATCCTCACAGCTGGAGATGGGAAGGTGGCTGAGCGGTTGCTGGACTATAGCAGAACCATCCAAGCCCTAGCCCTGCCCCGGAACGTGCCAGACACCAACCCCTACCGCTCCAGTGCAGGTGAGGACGCAGCAGCATAGGGCACCCCAGCACACACAGCAGTTTCTGTTCTCTGGATCACTTAGCAGAAACCCTGTAGGGCTTTGAGAATCAGTATCAGAAAAGTGCAGGGTCACTCGCCACCGAAATAGCCACTACGTTAACAGCTGGACCGACGGGAGCCCATGAGGTCCAGTTGCTTGCCTGGGGCCATCCCTGTGTGTCTGCTAGCCCTGAGTCCTCACTGCTAACCACTCTCTGCCCCTCTCTGGGCAGTGAGCTCACAGAATGACGAGCTCACTGTGCGTCAAGGCTGTTCTTTGCACCTGGACCATTCAGGTGCCCCCCAGATCCTCTGTAGCTGTCTGCCCCTGCTGCTCCCACCCGCCCCTTCCTAGGGAACTGTTTCAACCACAGAATCACAGCTGGCTCAGAGGAACGAGAGTCTATCACTTGGCCTGGAGCCCATCCACTTGTCTGTGGGCCATAGCAGGGGAGGGGAGACCAACAGCACTGTATTCTCCCGTGTGTGCCCAGGAGATGTCACTACCCGGTTCGATGAGGTGTTCTGGTTTGGGGACTTCAACTTTCGCCTAAGTGGTGGGCGAGTGGCTGTGGAGGCCCTCCTGAAGCAAGACCCGGAAGTGGACGTGCTGGCACTCCTGCAGCATGACCAGCTCACCAGGGAGATGAAGAAAGGTGGGTGGCTGGGGAGCAGCACCTTGGGTGCAGCCGGCTCTCTCTGTTCCTGGGGTCGGGTACCTGGGGTGCAGCCTAGGGTGCAGCCTGCTCTCTCTGTTCCTGGGGTCGGGTACCTGGGGTGCAGCCGGCTCTCTCAACCTGGGGTTGGGTACCTGGGGTGCAGCCTGCTCTCTCTGAATCACCTGTGCTGCAGGGTCCATCTTCAGAGGCTTCGAGGAGCCTGAAATCCACTTCCTCCCGTCCTATAAGTTTGACATTGGGAAGGACACCTATGACAGCACCTCCAAGCAGAGGACACCCTCCTACACAGTATGTTACCTCAACCTGGCCCCTGATGCCCCCATGCACTTCCAGGCAGGTAGAACTTCCTGTCAACCATAGCTCATTTCGAATGTTGGTGTGGGGCTGGCACTGCAGTTGTCCAGCATACAGCAGTCAGCCAGCCAGACTCAACTTAAAACTGAGCTCCAGCCTGAGGCCAGGGAATGCATGCTTCTCCGGTTGGTGGAGGACTGTGCCTCTGAGAGCTACAGGGCTGGGCATACCTGGGTCCATGTAATCAGGCAGGAGGGAACTAGTGGGAGGCACCTGCACTCCCGCCTGGCTTTCCTCCCAGGCCTGGGCTCCCTCTGGGTACACTGTGGCACCTGGTGGGACCCTGGGGCAGCCATAGAGAAAAGGCAGCTAGATCCCCACTGCTCCCAGAGGGCTGGGTGGGAGCAGGCACCCCAACACAGGCCTCTAGATGCCCAACAGTAAAGGGTCAAGTAGGCCCTAGCTGAAGTACAACCACAGCAGGGCTGCAAGTCACGCCCTGCCACACAGATGCTTGCAGCACAGTGGCTTACCATCTCTGCTCCTGCTTTGCCTTTCTTTCGAAGGACCGAATCTTGTACAAAAGTCGCCACAAGGGTGACATCTGTCCCATCAAGTATTCCTCCTGCCCCGGGCTCAAGACGTCTGACCACCGCCCGGTATATGGGCTGTTCCGTGTGAGAGTGAGACCTGGACGGGACAAGTAAGTCTCATGGCCCTGCTCACATCTTGATGTCTTGCTCCTCAGAGCTGGCTGGGGCTGAGGGGCTTAGCACTTCTCAGATAGGGGACCTTTCTGATGGGGGGACAGGCTTAGGTGTGGAGGTGCATGCCATTGTCTCCTGCTGTGACACACCAGACGGGTACCAGCAGCACCTAGGTTGAAGTCGCAGTCACTGGAGCCTAGTGGTCCTCAGGTGCCCGCGGTCTTCAGGTTGCTAATCTTTGGGGTTTCATGGAGAAGTAGCTTGCTGTGCAACCTCAGGCTGTTCCCCAAGATGGGTGGGCTCCTTCTGGAGCAGGTAGGCCCAAGTGGGATGCAGAGGCAAGGTACCAGGGTTTGGGCTGGGGCAGCTTTGGGGGATGAACGCTAACCTTCAGGCAGCTGCCCGTCCTTCATGGATGTGCTCAGCAGGCGTGTGGCCGAGGGAGGTGGCAGCCAAGTCCTGGAACATGTCTTTCCCTCCACAGCATCCCCCTAGCTGCTGGCAAGTTTGACCGAGAGCTATACTTGATAGGAATTAAAAGGCGGATTTCAAAAGAAATTCAAAAACAGCAAGTGCTAAAGAACCAGAGCTCCAGTGCCGTGTGCAGTGTTTCTTGAAGTTGCCGGACAAGGACTGGCCACTGAAACTCGGGGACCAGTCACTGGAAAGAGACAGGTGTGCTTGTTGGTGCCTCTTGCCATGTTGGGGTCTTGATGAACCACAGCTAGGAGCCCTCTCGCTCTCCCACCACGCAGCCCCTCCTACCCCCCCCCCCCCCCCTGTCCCCCCCCCCCCCCCCCCCCCCCCCCCCCCCCCCCCCCCCCCCCCCGCCGTTGGGACAACTGTGGGCTGTGACCAGGCCAGGCTCACTGGTGTCCCAGGAAGGAAGCCACTTATGCTCAGGGGAAGCCTGTCCTATTCCTGACAGGTCCCTGTGGACACATGGCAGGGCTTCTCTCAGAGTGGAGAGCACAGACACTAATGTAGCACCCTCACACCTCCCGCAGGAGCTGCAGACACAGCCAGGCTTGTCCCCACAGCCCCGCATCCTGCAGGCAGTCCCCAGATTCCTGCCCAGGAGCACTGCAGCCCCTTTTGACTCTTAATTCACAGTCCCATGGTAGGACCCAGGTTCTAGGTCTGCATTCTCCCAGCAGCCCCTTCTCCTCTGGGTGCCACTCACAGGTATCTGGGGAGGGGTCAGGCATCCTCATCCTCGGGAGCCTTAGGTGCCCCATGGCCCTGGAACCTGCCTGAGGCCTAGTAGACATCAGAGGCCAAAGCCAGCCACTTCCAGGATGTGCCCAGCCACCATCTTGGCAGGCCTCAGTTCTACACCCTGATATCATGTTCCCAACCCCCCAGTTGAGTAAGGACCTCTCCTTTCCCCTCCACAGGCCAAGCCCAGCCATGTGAAACAATTTTAGGGATTTCAGACCATTTGCTTTAGTGCTACCAGCCTCAGAGTAGCGTGGCCGGGCAGCTCTGCCTCACCTGGGTTTGGCTTAGAGGACTTAGGACCCATCACTGCTCTGAGAAAAACAGCCTTGAATGTACGGAAACCTAGGGGCACCACTCTAGTCTTATAAATTATTTATTTTTCCATATTTATATTTTTAAATAAATGCATAGTCAATCATAAGCTCTTTCTGGCCAAAGACTGAACCTTAGAAGAAGCTGTCTGCACACACCCCTGGTCCTCAGGGTGAGTTTAAAGACAGTAGAAGTCAAAAGCAGCAAGTTTGGTGTCAGCTGTGGACTGCTGACCAGTCCCGTCTCAGCTCCTGCTGGGTGCGCCTGCTCACAGGCAGAGGCAACGACAGCTGGAACAGAGAGAGGTGATGACTTTGGACTCCAGTTAACTGTGATGAAACGAGCCAGTCCAACAAACAGGTAAAACTGTCAGCATCAGCTTCTAGAGTGGAGGACCATCAGCACAGCCAAGTCGGCATCAATAAACAACTCAGATATGGAAAGTGCCAGAAATGTCAAATTGGTGAACTGAAATTTTTCGATTGGAAAGTTTTGTGGTAATGAAGCTTGAAATACCTTGCCCCCCCGACAGGGTCTTGCTGTGTAGTCCAGGTTGCCCTAGAGCACATGATCCTCTTGCCTTAGCCCCCTCCACTGCCTGCTACTCCTGGCTTGAGCAAGGTCTGATGATTCCTTGTGGAAGAGACCGAGGTGCCTGGGACATCCCCAGGTGACCTGACATCAAGAGCATGTTGGGGAGGTGGAGGCTAAGGGGGTGGGCAAAGTGCAGTGGTAACTTTCATACCAGCCATTGCATTTTAGACAGGGCATTTCAGTTGGAAACCAGAGAACCTGGGTGTTGTGAGCAGTTGTGAAACACAGCTAACTGTGATGACTCACTCTTGTAAGCTCAGTACTCCAGGCCAGAAAATAGGACAGCCTGGACTTACACAAGCGTTGTGTCAAGAACACACAAATATTGCTATCTCCCAAACACAAGTGGCCTGTCCTTTGTCAAACAGTCCTGCTACAGCAGGCACTATCTGGTCACCAGAGACTCGAATAGGGAAGGCTGGGGAGGGATGCACAGGCCCAAGGTTGGAGGAGGAAGTCCCTGGGTCTAGGAAGGCAAAGTGTTACAGGTTCTCCTGACCAAAGGTACACAGGGCAGAGGCCTGAGCACAAGGCCTGGCAGGCACAGCTGGGAACTAAAGATGCTGATGTGTAGTTAGCAGTTTCTAGAATGATCTGAGATGGCTTAGCAGTTGAGGATTTTGCCATGTACTCCATCAAACTTGGAGGAGCTAGACTCGTGACAGGTGTCTTCTCCATGCCCTGCTGTACCGAAGGGTGCCACTCCATGTGTGCAACCTTCAGCCCCAGTGGACTGGCTTCCACCAGCCTGCAGCAGGCAACCCCTTCGAGGATAAGTGAGCTGTACAAGTTCTGATGTCCTGGGCTGGAGTGATGGCTCAGCAGGTAAGAACACTGGTTGTTCTGCAGAAGACCCGGGTTTGAATCCCAGCACCCACATGGCAGCTAAGAACTGTCTATAACTCCAGTTCCAGGGGATCCGACAGCCTCTTCTGTCCTC